TAAGTACTGCTACTCTAGCCTTTTATCCTTTCCATTTGCCTGAAATGTCTTTTTCCATCCCTTTACTTTTAGTCTCTGTGTATCTTTTATCTGAGGTGAGTTTCTGGAAGACAGCATATATATGGGTCATATTTTCTTACCCATTCAGCTACCTTATGTCTTTTGATTGGAACATTTAAGCCATTTTCATTTAAAGTGACTATTGATAGTATATATCTATGTCCACTTTATTCATTCAACTATGTTCCTCTGATTTTTATTTTTTCTTCTTCTTAAAGAAAGCCCTTTAACATTTTTTGTAATACTGGTTGGTGGTAACAAACTCCTTTAACTTTTTCTTGTCTGGAAAGCTCTTTATTTCTCCTTCAATTTTTAACGATAGCCTTTCTGAGGAAAGTAGTGCCAATTGTTTAAGTCTTTGCTTTTCATCCCTTTGAATATGTCATGGCATGGCAATCTCTTCTGGCCTTAAACATTTCTGTTAGGAAATCAGCTGATAGTTTTATAGGGGCTCCTTGTAGGTAACTAACTGCCTTTCTCTTGTAGCTTTTAAGATTCTCTCCTCTTTAAACTTTGCCATTTATATATGATATGTTTTGGTGTGGGCCTCTTTGGGTTCAACTTGTTTAGGTCTATCTGCACTTCTTGGACTTGTGTGTCTTTTTCCTTCACCACATTACAGAAATTTATTAGTCAATATTTCTTAAGAAAAAAAGATTTTATTTATTTATTTCTAGAGAGAGGGGAAGGGAGGGAAAGAGGGAGAGAAACATCAATGTGTGCATGCCTCTCCCCAATGGGGACCTGGCCTGCAACCCAGGCATGTGCCCTGACTGGGAATTGAACCAACGATTCTTGGTTTGCAGCCCACGCTCAATCCACTGAGCCACACCAGCCAGGGCTACTTAATATTTCTTTAAATAGGTTCTCAGTCCCTTGCTGTCCCTCTTCTCCTCTGGTATCCCTATGATGTAGATATTTTTATAGTTCATATTATCCCAAAGGTCTTGTAAACTACCCTCATTTTAAAAAATTCCTTTACTTTTTGGTGCTCTTATTGTGTGTTTTATGTAACCTTGTCTTCCAAGTCACTGATTCAATCCTCTTTTTCATCCAACCTGTTTATTCATTGTAGTCTGTTTTTTAAAACATTTTATTTCTTTTTAGAGATAGGGAAAGGGAGGGAGAGAGGGAAGAAGCAAAACACTGATGTGCCAGAGAAACATTGATTGGTTGCCTCTCACATGCCCCCAAGCGGGCACCTGGCCTGCAACCCAGGTGTGTACTAGGAATTGAACTGGCAACCCTTTGGTTCACAATCTGGCACTCAATCCACTGAGCCACACCAGCCAGGGCCATTGTAGTCTATTTTTTTATTTCAGATATTGTATTCTTCACTTCTATGTTTTTATGCTGTTGTAGTTCTTGCTAAGTTCCTTGAGCATCCTTATGACCATTTAAAAAATTCTTTATGTGGTAAATTGCTTCCCATTTCATTTAGCTCCTTAAAAGAAAATATTTCTCCTGTCTTTTCATTTGGGACATGTTTCTTTGTCTCCCCATTTTGTCTACCTCTTTGTATTTGTTTCTGTGTATTAGGGAGATCTGCTTTGTCTCCCAAACTTGGGAGGATCTTTGGTGCAGCTCAGTATCAGATGCTGCCTGTGTGATTGGCCCCTGGCAACCTGTTTGGAGCTTCAGTGTGATCCAGTTTGTGGCTGCCTTGGCTGGCCATGGGTGTACTTGGGAAGGACCAAGGTGTAAGTCAATGTCAGCTTCCACCATCACCAAATCCAGGGGCATGTAAGAAAAAGGTCTTAAGAACCCTGAGATTTGCCTGTGCTTACCTTCACCTTTTTGCTGCCTGTTAGGCTCAGTCATTAAGGGGCCTCTGGCTGTACTTGAGTTGCATGAGGATGGTTTTCAGTGAATCACCAGGTAGGGGTGAGTGGTGTTCACCAGATACATGCAGGCTAAATCTTGGTGCCAGTGTTGGGTCTAAGGTCTTTCAGCAAATGTCTCAGGGTATAAAAAGTCTAACTGGCACCTATCAGTTGCCCACAGACTGTTGTGATGCAGCAGGGTCTCAAGAAATCAGCAGGGTGAGGCCAGTAGTGTTTATCAACCCTAAACAGTTTAAGATTTGGCTGTGTAAAGAAGGGCTCTGCACTCATCAGGCTTGCAAGGAAAAAATGGCCTTCCTAGGACCACACAACTCAGTCTGTCTTAGAGTCTGTCAGGAGGCAAATCTCAGCAGGACAGGGCTGTCAGGAGTTGGGAGAGTGGGGCTAGCATACTTTCCATGAGTGTGATTGCCTATCAGTCTTGGGAGTAACAGAGGAGTGGTTCTTACCACAGAGCCACAAAACCCAGTCGCTGACACCCCTTGATTCTCTCAGACCTCTATACCTCTACCCAGGCAGCTGTCTCTTCAGCAGGGTGTGAGCTCTGCAGGATGGTGTAACAGGGAGTCCAGAGGGTGGAGCTGTAACATTTCCCCAGACTGATGCTCTAAGGAGGGCAATGCTCCACCCATTTCACATCTCCGGCCTTCCTACCTGTCTTAATGTGGCTTTTTTCTGTAAATCCTTAGTTATAAGACTTCTGTTCAGCTACTCTTCAGCTGGTTTTTCAGGTTGATTGTTTTATATTTTAGTTGTAATTCCAGTTTGGTCCTGGGAAGATGTGAGTGTAACTTCTACCCACTCTGCTGCTATCTTGAATCTCCATGCAACTTTTTAAAAGGAGAATGAAGAATCTTACTCTTGCCCTGGCTGGTATGGCTCAGTGGATTTAGCACTAGCTTGTGAACCAAAAGGTCACCAGTTCAATTCCCAGTCAGGGAACCTGTTTGGGTTGCAGGCCAGGTCCCCAGTTGGGAGCTTGTGAGAGGCAACCACACATGGATATTTCTCTCCTTCTCTTTCTCCTTCCCTTCCTCTCTCTCTAAAAATAAATAAATAAAATCTTTAAAAATAAATACAGTGTTTATTTTTTAAAAAGAATTTCTCTCTTTCTCAGTTATGTTAAGTGAGCAATCTGTAACTTATAGCAAATGAAAAACAGTGTGTGTTGTATACTGTTGTGGTGCTTTGTATGCTTAAAATATAAAAAAATACAGAATAAAGTCATGACACTGACATTTCTTGATTCCAGGGAGGGAAACTGAGTTGCTGAGGGACAGGGATAGAAGGGAGACTTTTTACTATGTACTATTTTATACCTTCTAACTTTGAATCTTGTGTTTGAAATAAAGAACAAACTTACAGTAACCAGAGGGAACAGGGGAGGGTGATAACGGGGAAAAGAAGGAAAAGGGTCATCAAGGAACATGTATAAAGGACCCATGGACAAAGCCAAAGGGGGGGAAGGATGGAGGGTGGGAGGTGGGGGTGGGGTGGGGAAAATGTGGGTAAGAAAATGGAGACAACTGTATTCGAACAACAATTTAAAAACATAAATACAATGAAAAACTTTGTAAAAGATTTTATCTATTTTTAGAGAGGGGAAAGGAGGGAGAAAGGGAGAGAAACATCAATGTGTGGTTGCCTCTTGAGCACCCCCTGCTGGGGACTCAGCCTGCAACCCAGACATGTGCCCTGACCAGGAATCAACCAGCAACCCTTTGGTTCACAGGCTGGCGTTCATTCAATCCGCTGAGCCACACCAGGCAGGGCATCTGAAAAACTTTTACAATGAAAACCTTTTAAATATAAAAACTCTACATGTATATTATGTTTATATATATTTATAGAAACATATAAAAATAAGAAGGTCTGAAATGATATACAACAAACACCAAACCAAACAGGTATGACTTAGGAAGGGGAGGTGAGACATTAGATGTATGTGTGGGATGCACATTTACTTTTTACTTTATGCTGCTTGAATTTGAAAGAAGATTTTATAATTACACAAGTCAACCACATAAAAAGAAATCTTATAGGTCTGGGGACACTGTACCAAGAGAGTACAGTTATTTTTTTTTAAATTCTGCCATAAACATATGGAAGGCTTAGCCCTATTAATATTTCCGTAACATCATTCCCATGAGTATTTCTGATAGATTGAAGTTATAAGACCTTGTGGTCACCACCCAAATTCAAGAAAATATACAAGGCAATATACTGACAATATATTATAGAGTTGTACAGTTGAAACACATAATTTTATTAACATTGGTTAATTTTATGTCACCCAAATAAATTTAATAATTTTTTAAAAAAGGGAACAAGACCTTACCATGCAAGAATTCAAAATGAAATAGTAAGCTGACCTTCAGTCTTACAATGACTTTCATGAAGAATGCTCAAATTTCCCATATCAGAAGAATTATCCAGGAGGCAAAGGGCATAAAAAGATAAGAAGTGGATAACCACTTTTATAATGATCTCGAATGTACACCTCACATTTCCAAAGTGCGTAGTCTTTGGAACTATTGAAAAAAACTTGTAATTTAGAGTCAGAATTCCTGTTTTTAAAACCTGGCTAAATTTTAGAGTAGCTGTGTGAATTTGGATCATCAACTACCCCTATGGTTAATCAACTACTCCTATAGTTATTCAACTATCCCTATCCTATTACTTGTTTGAGAAACTTATTAAAAAATTAAATGAGATATTGCGAATGCACATTCTAAGCTATGTAGTGTTCGAATACTGTTATTATTTTTCATCACCCACAGTGGCAGAGTTAATGACAATTACTTACAGTAGTTTCCCCATATTGTCATAAGGGACATTACCTCTTTACTCCCAGAACTTCATGCCAACTTTTAAAACATGCAACTTCCAGAACATCTCTGGTTCAAAATTTGTCACTGTAACTTGTTACTGTCACTGTAGGGGAAAAAGTAAAGTTAATGTTTCATAGTAATACCAAAAAAAATAATTGCTACTAGAAAAACAAAGTACAAATTTGTTGTTGAGCTTCATGTCTTTTTGTACTCTTAGAAGTGGGCAAAAGGATAATATAAACACTTTTATTTTCTTAAATTTCAGTTATCTACCTCATATTCTACCATGCCATCTTTGTGTTCTTTACCTGGACCTACTGGAAGTCTATTTTTACACTCCCTCAACAGCCAAATCAGAAGGTAAGAATACTGCTTATTTCATAAAGCCTAAAAACAGAGGCAAGTAGAAATGCCAATAATGCAAGAAAAGGACAAAAAGGGAAGCAAAAAGCTTTCTATTATAAAAAATAGAGATTAAGAGTAATATTTCAAAAGGACTCTTGGTGATAAAGATACATTAAGTGTAGGATTGCCTATTGAAGGTGTTTGTGAAATCACTAGCTGTGGATATATTTAATACTAGAAAACCACTACCTGCATTGATGACATAATTAGAGAAACAAGAACCCATTTGGATTCTGAAAACTCATCTAGTTCAATTCTATGAAGCTATTATTTTAGAACGCAGTGAGACTGTGGAAGACAACTGTTAGGAAGAAGTTGCAATAGTGAAACTGATCATTTTCAAATTGTGCTGCATTGAATCAAAGTGTTTCCTGCAATATTTAGGAATATTTATCAAAAAATTTGTAATTATACCAGGCATTTCTATTATGTGACTACTACAAAACAGGTTTAATTCCAATGTAGAAAAATTAAAAAAAAAACAATGGAGGAGACTTAAACAGCCTACAGACATTAAAGAAAATACTGGTTTAAATTCTACCATTTAAGGAATCAAATTGGTACACAAGAAAAAATAAAATTAAATGCAAAAGAAGGCAGTAATTCAAGAATTGATGAACATAAAAGATATAAGCTTATAGAAAATAAATAGCAAAATTCTACAAGTTCTCCTTATAAGTAATTATTTGAAATATAAATGAGTTAAACTATCCAGTTGAAAGGCAGATATTTACATGATGGATTAGCATCACCTATCTTTATGCTGTCTATAAATGAGTCACTTTATTTTTTAAAAGATTATATTTAATTATTTTTAGAGAGAAGGGAAGGGAGGGAGAAAGAGGGAAACACCAATGTGTGCTTGCCTCTCATGCTCTTCCTACTGGGGACCTGGCCCGCAACCCAAGCATGTGCCCTGACTGGGAATGGAACCAGCGACCCTTTGGTTCACAGGCTGGCACTTAATCCACTGAGCCACGCCAGCCAGGGCCAAATGAGTCACTTTAAAACCAAAGACGTAAATAGGTCAAAGGTGAAAGGATGGAAAAATGTTATTCCAAGCAAATAGTAACCTAAAGATAGCAACAAGGGGAGCTGTACTAATGTCACATAAGGGGGCTTTTAAGACAAAAACTGCTGCTAGATACGAAGAAGAAAAAGATCTCACTGAGTGATGCCAGAAAGATGACAGAGTAGAAGATGCTGGCCTTTGTCCCCCTACCAAAAACAACAGACAGCTATGCATGAATGAAAATAACCATGAGAGGGCTAAAGAGTTTAATTATGTACCTGCAGCAACACAGTGGAACAAAAAATGAAGAATAATCATACAGGAAGGATTGCTAGGAAGAATAATTTGATGGAGATATCTTGAGAAGGCTAAGAACAAAGAAACGGGCCAGGCACTAACAGTATCAGCCACACAACAGGTACTAATGCAGTCACCAGTGGTCTGCTTTGTAGAGGACTCTGGCAGCTTTTGCCACTGAGGACCTCAACAGCCCCTGGGACAGCCATGAATTTCCACAGTTTTTAACAGCAGAGGACCTCAAAATGTTTGGTGGTATGGACCCCAGCAGTCTCTACCACAGAGGATACTGGCAGCTTTTGCCACTGAGGTAACCAATAGCCATCACTGCCACAGACTGTCCTTAAAATGGGATACTGCTGAGACCTCCTTACAAAAAGAAGCCCCTGTTGTGCCATCGAGTACTGGGAATGCTACGCGAAACTTTGTGCTTTCTCTAGACCCCAGAGCCATGGATCTTTACATGCACTTGCTACTAGATGCCAACATAACAGCCATTCCACCCATGCCCATCCTGCAAACCCTGGCTTCATAGCCACTCTGCCTATACCAGTACCTCAGACACCAGAGCCACCAACAACACATGATATCTCATGCCGCAGATCCCAGAGACACTATCATTCCATGCACACCTGTGCTCTGGACCCTGGATCCATGGCCACTCTGTAAGTGTTCACAACACGGAAACTGGAGTACTGCTGAAGTATATGCACCTGTGCTCTAGAATCCATTACCACAGCTTCTCCACAAGTATTCAAACTTAAGACCCGAGTCACCACCATATCAGACTCATCTATATACCACATATAGCTGCTCTTTGGACTCTAGTTCCATTACTGCTCTGCAAGTGCATGTGCCTAAGTCAATGGAGCCCATGCCTCAGACCCCAGAGCCTCTGTAGCTCTGTGAGCCTGTGGATTTATGGAAGCTGGAGGTATCATACTTCCTGATTTCAAATCATGTTATAAAGGTATAATAATCAAAACAGTATATTGCTGATATAAAAACAGACACATAGATAAATGGAACAGAATCAAGAGCCCAGAAATAAACCCATGCATATATAGTCAACTAATCTTCAACAAGTTGCCAAGAATACACAATGGAATAATAATAATCTCTTTAGTAAATGTTGGTGGAAACACTGGATATCTGTACAAAAAAGAATGAAATTGGACCTTTATTTTACACCATTCAAAAATAATTTAAAATGGAATAAAACTATTTAAACATAAAACCTCAAACCATGAAATTCCTGGAAGAAAACGAAGAAAACCTACCTGAAATTGGTCTTGGCATGATTTTTTTATTTTTGGTTTTGACACCAGAAGTATGCAACCAAACCAAAAATAAACGAGTGCAACTACATTTAACTAAAAACTGTTTGCACAGCAATGGAAACAATCAACACAATGACATTGCAATATATGGAATGAGAGAAAATATTTGCAAACTTTATACTTGCAAAGGGATTATTATCCAAGATGTATACTGTCCAGAAAAACTCCAGCTGTTGTTAATATAACAAGAATGGTATGAGTGACATCAATGTAAACTGGCAGCCAAGGAGAATGGACTGGAATGTGCATGTATAAACAAGGACAACTTCACTGTACCTAGTCAGTGGGGGTGGTAGACACCATTGAGTGAGCATGTGTACTGTGTGGCAATTGCATTCAAAATGACTGAGCAAGTAGAGTAATGAATCTGTATCATTTTTTGCATTAAGCTTGAACATTCCTCCACAGAAACTATTCAAATGATTCAGAAGGCTGCAACTATGGGCAACTGCTAATTGGCAGCTTCATCATGACAATGCACCCATTCATGCATCATATCTTGTGCAGAGTTTTTTGTGATACATCAAGTCACTCTGGTGACTCAGCATCCTACAGCCCAGATTTAGTGCCCTGTGACTTCTGACTTTTCCCAAAACTAAAACCACCTTTGAAAAGAGAGATTTCAGACCATTAATGAGGTTCAGAAAAATATGAGGGGACAGCTGATGGTGATTGGGAGCACTATGTGAGGTCCCAAGGTGCCTACTTTGAAGGTGTCATTGTCCTATGTGCAATGTTTCTTGTATCTTCTTCAATAAATGTCTATTTTTCATATTATGTGGCTGGATACCTTCTGGACAGGCCTTGTATGGAACTCAACAACTCAATATATATATAAAAAAACACCCCACAAAACTAGCAACCCAATTTAAAAATGACCAAAAGACCCAAATAAACATTTTTTGAAAGAAGACATATGACTAGCCAACAGGTATATGAAAAGGTGCTAGACACAGGGAAAATGCAAATTATCAGCAAAATGCAAATCAAACCAGAGAGATCACCTAACAACTGTCAGAATGGCTATTATCAAAAAGTCAAAACATAAGAAGTGTTGGCGAGGATGTGGAGAAAATGGAATCCTTTAGCACTCTTGGTGGGCATGTAAATTGTTGCTGCCACTATGGAAAACAGAATAGTTGTTCCTCAAAATATTAACAGTAGAGTTACCATATCATCCAGCAATGCCACTTCAGGGTATATATCTAAAAGAAATGAAGTCTGTATCTCAAAGAGATATCGACACTCTTATATTCATTGTGCCACTAATCACCGTGATAATGATATGATCACAATACCCGATATCAAACTCTATTATAAGGCCACTGTAATCAAAAGTCTGGTACTGGCATACGAACAGATATGTAGATCAATGGAACAGAATAGAGAGCCCAGAAATAAACCCAGATCTCTATGAACAATTAATATTCAACAGAGAGAGCAGGGGCATAAAAAGGAGTAAAAATAGCCTCTTCAACAAATGGTGTTGGAAGATCTGGACATGCAGAAAAATGAAACTCAACCAACTTACACCATACACAAAAATAAACTCAAGATGGTTAAAAGACTTAAATATAAGTCGCAACACCATTAAAGTCCTAGAGGAAAACATAGGCAGGAAAATCTCAGATATTCCACATAGCAATATTTTCACCGATATGTCCCTTACAGCAAGGGGCATAAAGGAAAGAATAAACAAGTGGGACTTGGTCAAAATAAAAAGCTTCTGTATGGCCAAAGAAAATATCAGCAAAATGAAAAGGGAACCAACCATATGGAAAAATATATTTGCAAATGATACCTTGGACCAGGGTTTGATCTCCAAAATATATAAAGAACCCATATGACTCCACTCCAGGAAGATAAACAATCCAATTAAAAAATGGGTGAAGGACCTGAATAGCCACTTCAAGGAGGACACACAGAGGGCCCAGAGGCATGTAAAGGATGCTCAGCATTACTAGCCATCAGATAGATGGAAATTAAAACCGCAATGAGATACCACTTTGCATGGGTCAGAATGGCCATCATAAGCAAATCAACAAACAACATATGCTGGCCAGGTTGTGGAGAAAAGGGAATCCTAGTCTACTGTTGGTGGGAATGCAGACTGGTGCAGCCACTGTGGAAAACAGTAAGGATTTCCTCAGAAAACTAAAAATGGAATTGCCTTTTGACCTGACAATTCCACTGCTGGGATTATGCCCTAAGAATCCTGAAACACCAAATCAAAAGAACCTATGCACCCCCATGTTCATAGCAGTACAATTTGCAATAAGCAAGTGTTGGAGGCAACCTAAGTGCCC